TGTTGGTGAAAATAATATCAACAATATACCAATAATATATCCATTTTTGGAATATTTTTCTCTTTTTTTAACAGATTTTAAGAAAAATAATTAAAAATTCAGCGAAACAAATGGCTCAATGCTGAAAAGATTTAAATCCCAAATCTATTACTAACATGCAATTTTTAACAAAGCGAAAAATTTGGAAGTAAAAAATAGGCCTACCATTCAAAAGGGAACTTCCAAGTGGATTTATGCAAAATATGAAATTGCGTCGACCAAAAATGCTTGTTATCAATGGTGCAATAATTTTTGCACAGCTTTCACGTGATCACATAAGTTTTGACTTCATTTAAATTAAAATTTACACTATTAAATACTACAGAGCACTTGCATATTAAATACTATTGATTTTTTTTACCTGGTTGCATAAGAACATTTGCATAATTTTTATGCAAGTGTTCTTATGTAATCTGGTAAAATTAAATACTGCAGAACATCTGCATAATTTTTACTTGATTACATAAGTTATAATCAATGAATTCCGGTCCGTATAAAAAACTATAATGAATAATAGAAGAATAAATTACTAATAAAATACATCATCGATAAAGTCAGTTTCAATTAGATTTGGCTTGAATTAAAGTAACAGAACCGGAACGTTTATTCTTCATGCGTCGATTTTGGAACCATATTTTGATTTGTGTTTCTGATAAATGCAATTTTTGAGCTAACTGATACCTGAAAGAACGATATGAAAACACATTAATTTGATTTATGAATATAGATAATAAGTAAATGAGTATAAAAGTTAATAAATGAATCAAAAAAATATAATCAAAAATTAGAAAGTTTGTTAAATAGTAATACTTTAGCTAACATTTATTTTTTTTAATTTACTACGAGAGAAAAGAATCATTAATTTTTGCCTCGGATAACACCATTCAACCAAAATTATTGCCTCTTTAAATTATCTTAATTATATTCATATCTAATCATAATAATCAATCGTGATAAGACCATTTAATAAGAAAAAGAATAATTTTACATCAGTAATTTTCAAGTAGGATAAGCTGTACTGAATAACGATAATACTATTGTTATTATAAATTTCATCAGTCCTAAAGATGTCAATTGTTAAACAAAAATTTTTTGCAATTCGGATGCGAAAAGGATAAATGAATTGAAAGGATTCAAATAAAATATTTAACATCGACAAATAGAATTAATTTCTTTTCTAGAATTATCGAACTAAAATTTAAAACTTTTTTCCCTTATTTTCGATATTTTTTTGGTAAATTAAGTATATAAGTCGATGCTGCTCACTGATACTGCACAAAGTAATTGGGATGAATTCGTCCAAACTGATGGATCTTTATTTGTACAGTTTGTCAATAAGATCAACATTGATAATTATCGATAATTAGCCATTTTTCATGCTTCCCTCTTCTCCACCTAATATTTAAGCAAACAAGGTAATATCGCAATTCATACGTTCATTTATTTCAAAGTATACGGTACCTTTTAGGTCGCGATAAATAGCGAGTTTGCGCGAAATTTCTTTCGAGTTCGATGAGTTGTTCAGTAGTAAATGCTGTCCGTGGACGTCGGATCTTTCCCAACGTTTGCCATGCATTTACTGCAATTAATCATAGATCCGATGTTAATTAAACGATTTAAAACGAAATTTATTATTTAATTGCAGCAACTCAACAATCGAAAATTAATTGAAAAAAAATTAATTTTAAAAATAAATTAATAGATATAAAGTTGGAATTTATATCCAATTCATATTCAACCTTGAATATTTACAATTAAATAAACAAATTAATAGCATAAATTTCAAGCTACTGTTTGCAATCTCGCAAAACCAAGTGGAAATTTGTACGTATATGTAACTGATTTGCAATATGATTTAAATAATT